TAGCAGCCAAAACGTGGAAACAGTCCATGTGTCCATCAACAGATGAAGGGATAAACAGAGTGAGGCATACACACATAATGGAATAACATTCAGCCATAAAAAGCAATAAAATCGTAATACTTGCTACAACATGGATGGACTTGGAAAGACATTATGCTAAGTGAAACAGTCCAGACATAGAAGGACAAATATTGTACGAGTCTATTTATATGGAGTACCTGGCGTAGGCAAATTCACAGAGACAGGAAATTAAATAGATGTTACCAGGGGCTGGGGAGAGAGGAAGGGAGAGTTCCTGTTTCACGGGCACAAAGGTTTTGTTCATGATGCAAATGTTTTGGGTATAGACAATGGTGTTGGCTGTACAACATTGTGCATGTATGGAATGCCACTGAATTATCCACTTATGATTGGTTAAATTAATAAATATTATGTGTATTTTACTCAATTAAAAAAAATCAAGAAAAAGCCCCACGCTCTGAGAGTGAAGTATGGGCTGAAAGTCGCACGAGTAGTAATGGTGGAGGCTGGCCTCCACCAGCCACGAGGTGGGTCTTTGTAGAGGCCAGCCGTCTGCACAACGCACTGTACCTCATCAGCTTGAAGGGACCCTCCCTGGTATCCAAACCGTGTGACCACAAAGAGTGGAAGTCTCAGTAATGAGCTCCCTTGGTGGCCTCAGCAGTTAAGTCCCTGGTCGGATGGATCCAGGATGACAGGATCTCATATTGAAACTCGTGTCATGATGAGATTTCGGTTTATAAGTTAATTCTCCTTACAATCACAGAAGGTGCAATTTAAAAATGAGTCCACCTAACTTTCAATGATCCAGAACTCGTATTTTTAAAGAGAAAGCAGGAAATTGGTCAGAAATAAGATCAAGCCCAGCTTCCCCATCACTTCTTCAAAAAATCGCTATCTTGCTTGTTCTTCCTGGATGGCCCATCTCCAGACACACAGAGCACATCACTTAAAGGCCAGCAGCTTTTGCATGATGCCAAATATATATACGGATGGGAAGCCGGGAAGGGCAAAAAAATTAATCAGACATAGACAGCCTACTAATTAAAACAATCAGAAACACCAATTTAGAATTAGAAGCTTTGTTTCCTGCCACCTGGAAATGGTTTGGGATGCAGCTTAGGACTATCAGCCAAGGGGATTCTAAGTGTCCTCAAACTCTCTTCTCTCTCACCCTTCGTGCGCCACCGCCCACGCCCCCTCCAGTGGTATTTGATGTCGTCATGCTGAAGCAGGACCAACCACGGGACCGGGACGTCTAGTCTTCTGTTACCTGGTGGTGCCTCAGTTTCCAGGTTGTCCCTCCCAGCTCTCCACTTCATCCCACCCCATGGAAAAATCCAATTGATAAGGGACAGTCCATCTTAGCTGGTTGTCAAAAGTGTCCAAGGAAACTGCTCCATACTTCAGCGTGAGGAACTGCTTGCACAGAGGTGTTAGATGTCACAGGGATGTTTTGTTTTTGAAAAGTGTAGCTTAGTATCTCACATAGGTGACTGTTACGGAGGAGTTTTAAAAGAGATTTCCCCTCATCTCTCAGGTTTTTCACGTATTCATTCAACAAGCATTTCACAAGTTCCTTGCCTGTGTCGGAAACTGTGTTAGGTGCTGGAGTGATAAATATTACGCCTTTAAAGAAAACTGCTGTCAGTGTAGGGGACAGAGAATGGTGATACATTTTGATTGAAGCTGTAATAATGACATAATGTGAACATTTATCAGGACTTTTATTATAGGAGATACTAAATGTCCTTGTCTTTTGCATCCAAGCATCCCCCGCTAGCAGGTAACCTACAGGAGAGCAGAGACCATTGCCCCTGTCTGTGCGGTGCCTCCCTAGTGCCTAGCACCCGACCAGGCAGGTAGAGGGGAATGAATGAATGAATGAATGAATGAACCAAGTCCCTAACATGGTGAATATGGACGGAGCTACGGTTCCATGGGGAGTGAGGACTCTCCATGGCCTGTGCACACGTGCACGTGTTCTGTCAGCCTCCTCTGCTCTAGCAAAAGTCCCCCCTGTCCTGTGGCATCGGCGCTTTGCGTTCTATTAGATTATTTTCATTGGCCTGCCTTTCCTCTCCAGTTCATGTCCCTTTGCTCCCTTTCGCAGCAACCTCAAAAGTTGTCTACACCCACTGTCTTCAAATTCTCATTTCCCCACTCTCTGTCAAGTTCACTTCGGTCAGCTCTCCCTGCGGTCCCCCCACCAAACCTGCTCTTGCAAAGCCCTCCTATGCCCTCTGCGTGGCTGAATCAGTGACTCCTAGTGTCCATTCTGTTTCCATGGTGGCAGTGTTAGACGGGGACGATGTCTCCTTCCTCCTCGACCAGGCTCTGCACGTGGTTTCCACTTTGGCTTCGTTTCTAGCTGCTTATTGGACACTCCTTGTAGTGTGCTGTCCTCTGCTGCTTCCCTCTTTCCTTCTCTGAGTTCTTTTTTAAAAAAAATTTAATGTTTATTTATTTTTGAGAGAGAGAGAGAGAGCGCGCACAGGGGAGGGGCAGAGAGGAAGGGAGACACGGAATCCAAAGCAGGTTCCATCCAGCCTGTGAGCTGTCAGCACAGAGCCTGACATGGGGCTCGAACTCACAAACCGCAAAACCATGACCTGAGCTGAAGTCAAGACACTTAACTGACTGAGCCACACAGGTGCCCACCTTCTCTGAGTTCTTGAAGATGGCCTGTCCAGAAAACCCCATTCAGCCCTGCCCTAGCCTCTCTCCTGCCGCCTTCAACTCTCTCCATCCCCTTTATCCTTCTCTTCTTTTTCCTTTTTGCACACACTTATCAACCTCTAACATGTTTCTTAGTTTACTTGTCATTGTGTTTATTTTGCATGGATATCCTGTCCCTCTGCCCCCTGTGGGAGTGTGAGCCCACAAGGGTGGGGGTATTTGTTTCCTTCACTGCTGTATTCCAAGTGTGGGGATCAGTGCCTGGCACGTAATGGGCTCTCAGTAAATAGTTGTTAAGTAGTATTTATTATGAGTAGCCGTTTATTAGTGAATGTTTTCAGATATGGTGACTTTTGCATTTCTAGGTCTCAGATAACGTATACTAGGAAAACAAGGATGCCCTGAATCTATTAGAGGCATCAGGGAAGGCTTCACAGGGGACCTGTAATCTGTGCTGAGTCTAAAGGAGCAGAGGAGGAATTCATGGGATGGGGAAGGACTAAGGGAAGGGCAGTCCAGGCTGAAGAAACTGTTTCATGCAGGGAAGAGTTTGAGGCGTGCGGGTTAGGGCTGGCATTAGTTTGGCGTGGGCTGGAGGGCAGTGACAGGGGAGGGGCTGAAAGACTGCGTAGCCATTGGCAGGATTCAGATTGGCAGAGCCCCACCCCAGCAACACCAGTGCCCTCCTGACCCTGCCAGCCTCCAAGACCTTCCTTCCCTATGCCGCCTGGGGGATACCTGAGACCTGGGGGGCACAGAGGAGCCTTTACATTTTTCACTGTCTGGTGTATGCACAGCCTTGTGGGGCCCCGAGTAACGATGTGTGTAAGAAGCTTCAGGTCCAGGAGGAGAAGGCACAGGCAAGTGGAGTTCCCACACAAAACAGCATGGTGATAACACCTTCAGAGATGGGGGGGGGGGGGGGGGAGAGAGAGAGAGAGAGAGAGAATCCCAAGTGGGCATGGGGCTTGATCCCATGACCCTGGGATCATGACCTGAGCTGAAATCAAGAGTCGGCGCTCAACCACCTGAGCCACCCAGGTGCCCCAAGAGTGTCCACTTCTAAGTGGAGAGACCAGGGATGACTTCATGGAGGCGGTGTCATTTTGTATCATTCTTCGTCAAAAATCGGGGGGTGGGGGTGGGGAAGGAAATTGCACCAAAGGTTTGTGTCGACACTCCTAGTTGGCAGCCTCGAGATGAGCATCGATCAATGCAAGCAATCTATTGATTGCATAAATAACAATGGTTTCTCGGCCAAAAAACCCAGCCTTAGCAGATGTTGTCAAATGTATCCGTTTTGTCCTATAATCTTTAAGTAATCTTTTCATAAAGTACCATCTCAAGTAGAGACCTAATCCGTCCTCCCCCAGTAGGAGGGGAATTATCTTTCTGATGGTATAAGATAATCCTTTTAGGTGACATGAAACCAACTCTCAGCCTAAATCCCTTCTTTTTCCTCCCCCACAGGTGCCATCATTACTGTTAAGAACTGCATTTAGAAATAAGCAGGAAGACTGGAGGGGTTATTTCGAGCCTCAAATAGTATTAAGTTGGAACCTGAATCTTCTGAAATGACAGCCTGACTTCTGAGCGGCCGTGCTGAGGATCTTGCTGCTCTCCGTTGGAGGGGAGCCTCTGTTTCCTGGGTGAGGAGCCAGGGGTCCTGGCCCACTGCCCAGAGGCTGGGCCTAATAGGCGCTTGGGACAGTGAGAGGTTAGGTGGGGAAAGCAATTCAAGACAGCCTCAGGGAAGAAAGTATTGGCATTAAGGCTTCTTAGAGGTGATGGCAAGAGAGATAATCCACTTACTGGTGTTCTTGGAGGAGAAGGTGGCCCAGGTGGGTGAGGAGGACACACAGCTTACAGAGACCCCTAGTTCAAGTTCTAACTTTGCTGCTTTCCAACTGTGCGGTTTGGGGACATCACTGTATTCCCCTTTTAGAATCTGTAAAACGGGAGCAATGTTAGGAAAGCCCTTTCTTGCAGTCCACGCGTGGGAGAAAGCTATAGCAGCCGTAAACGAGGACACCCAGGACAGAGAGCTTAAGAGCCATCGGTCAGCGTGCTGGTGAGGCCGGGAGCTGAGGGCTCCTAAAAGCCTGGGGCCCTCTTCCTGTTATACTAAGCAAGTATCCATTTTGTGGGATAGCTTTCTCAGGACAGAAGTGACACGAAGAGTTGACTCAACTGTCATTTTTATTCTCTTCCTGGTCATGTCACGCAGACGAGTGCTCCGTAGTGTAATTAGTCCATCTATCATTCTCTCTCTATGCATCCGTCTAGTCACCGGAACAAGATTTACTGAGCACGTGCTATGTGTCTGTCGGGAGTGTGAAGCACTGGGGAGTCAAGAAAGGCTGCTTGTTCAGCCCTTGAGCAACTCACACACCTGTTCCGGAAGCGCACACGGTGCCATGTGATCTTACAAGAGAGGTTCGCATCCAGCTCATCATGAGAGCTATTTTCTTGTTTTCGGGAGGAGGGTACGGAGGAGTTGGGAGGGGCTACACGGGGGGAGTGAAGGGAGGGAGTGATGATAACCGAGAGCGATGGCTCTCAGTAGGTGGGCGCTGATGGGAGTGCGTGCACACGTGTGTGTTCGTGCGTATGTGTGTTTGGGGAGGCAAGGGGCAAAGGAGGGAAGGGCATCCCAGGGGAGCGGTGAGCGCAAACGTACATGGGATCTGCTGCCCTGGTCAGCGTGGCTGGATGGGGTGAGGGCTCCGGCCGTGGGTGGCAGACACGCTGGGAAGTTGGCAGGTGCCAGAACGCAGAGGTATCTCATGGCCTCTAAGGGGTTAAACTTTCTCCCGGAGCTCCTTTTAAATCCTTCTAAACAGGGGAGTGACATTATCAGATTTTAGAAAGATAATTCTGGTGGCAGTGTGCGGCACAGATGGGAGGGGAGAGAATTGGAAACAGGGAACCCTGTTCTGCAGAGACTGTGATAATCCAGGCAACGGATGATGAGGGCCTGAGTGAGGGCAGGTGCGTCGGAATGAGGATGAAGTGGATTAGAGAGAGGTTGAAAAAAGAGAGTCAGCCTGGTGACTGATTGGGAGTCGGGGGGAAGGGAGTGAGGGGGAGGGGCGGGAAAGCACCCAAGGTGTGTAATTTGGCGGCAGGGTGAACGATGGGGTCATTAATTGGGAACTAGGATGAGGAGGAGATTGGAGTGCGCAAAGAGGGGACAGCATCATGAATCCTGCTTTGGGTCTGTTGAGTCAGGAACTCAGGGAAGAGGTGTGCAGTTGGCAGTTGAAAATGGGTTTAAAGTTTAGGAGAGGAGAGACGTGTATTTTTCCTGACACAGATACTTACAAGTGTCTTTTATGTGTCAGGTGGCCTTCCAGTGTCGGGGGATACAGCAGTGATTGTGACAGGCAAGATCTCTACTTTCATGGAGCGTTCATTCCCAAGGAGGGAAAACAAATAAGAAACTAGTGGGCAGACGCAAAATAAGACAGGGTAACGTGACAAAGAATGCCTGGAGGGGGGGTACATCAGATGGGGTTCAGGGCAGGCATTTCTTAAGAGGTTAGTATTTGAACCAAGATCTGAATAATGAAGAAGGGCCAGCTGTGTGAAGACCTTGGAGGAAAAGCAGTCCAGGCAGAGGGAACAGCACATGCAAAGGCTTTGAGGTGAGAGCAAACATGGCATGTTCAAGGAAGAGAAAGAAGTCCACGGTGTTTGGAATGTAGTGGGTGAGGGAATGGAAGGTAAGGCACGAGTTTGGAGAAGTGGTCGGGGGTCAGATCGCACCATAGAATGAATGTGTCGGTCAGATGAGACTAATCTGCATGGTAACCGATCACCCTCAAATCTCAATAGTATATAATAGAGAAGTTGACTTATCACTCACACTATATGTCCATTGTGGATTGGCTGCAAATTTTCTTCACTCGAGGACCCAGGTAGATATGACAGCTCCTACCTGGGACACCGCCGGTTTCCTAGCAGAGGGAAAAGTGAAGGTGGAGGTGTGATGGCCTTCCAGCTTCTGCATGGAAGTGGATGTGCCACTTCTATTGGCCCAGGAAAGTCACATGGTTAAAAGTGATGTCGCCGGGGGTTGGGGATGCATAATCCTTCCACAAGAGGAACAGCAGGAGTTGAGATCAACAATGCAGCCTACCATGTAGGCTATGGTAAGGAGATTAGATTTTATTCCAAGGACTCTAGAAAGCCACTAGGTTTGTTTGTTTGTTTGTTTGTTTTTTTAAACAGAGGGTATTGTAGGTTGCCAAGGTAGGCTAAAAAGTAGATCAAGGATGAAAATAGGAGATATGAGAAGCAAGGCAATCTGGGAAAGTGCGTGTCAGCTACGAGCACATGGCAAGGGAGCTCCTTTAGGGTAGAGCCCTGAAAAGACTATCAGGACAGGACCCTATGACTTGGCCTTGTAGGCTCTCCATGCATATTAGGCGCTCGTGGATGGTCTTTGGACAAGGCACCCTGGAATAGCCGTATTCTGCCCGCGATCACAGCGTTCCTCTCTAGGAGTCTCCTAGAGAAAGATGTAGATGAAGAAAACAGTAAAAGGAAAATAGCACCTAAATGCTAGTGAGAGTGGACCCTGAACCATAATAGAGAGGGCTTTATAAATTAGGCTGGAGGAAACCTACAATGATGGCTTTTGTTCTCTCCTCCTCCCCACGCCACATGCCACAGGAAAAGGTTCGATCCCTGGTCATGAATCTTTTTTCTATATGGAAAGGAGAGAGAAGAAGAGGGCAGGATGGGTGGGATGCTCCAGGACGGTGGGCCCCCGGGGCGGGATGCCACTTCTGCCACTGGGGAGAAAAGAGAAAGAAAACACAAGATGGCAAAGAGCTCCCAGTACAGTGTAGACCAGGAGCGGAGCCCCAGCCCACCTGTAGGGCGGAGCAGCTCCGTCCACAGGTAGTCCAGTCCAGACTACCAAAGTGGTGAGTTTGGATCAACCTTCCTCTTCTGCGGGGCGGGCTGAGGAGGGAGTGAATGGGGAGCTTCCCTTCCCTCATATGCTGTCTCTTGCCTGCTCCCTAATCCCTCCACTCCAGGAGGGAGAATGGAGAAAGCCAGTCTGAACAAGAGAACTTTGAGTTTTCAAGTTCTCCTGCCAAAGCTCCCCCTGCTGGTGGCTCCATTGCAGTTACTCAGCACATGTTTGAAACATGCCAGGAGGTCGCAGAAGTGGCGGGTGGGGGTGGGGGTGGCGGGAGACACATGGCCAAAATATCCAGGACAATTGACTTTGCTGCCTGGGGGTTTTCTTGGAACATCAAATCTTGGCTTCTGTTTTTATAAGAGAATGTCACAGCTCTTCAACTAAAATTATAAACGTCTCACGGGTAGAGCCCGTAATTTATACTTCTTTGGACCTCCACCCTTCCCGGCAAGTCCAGCACAGGCCATTCAGAAGCAAGTTAAATACTTGTATGAATAAACGAGGGAGTGACTGAATGATTTCCCAGAAGGCTTACCCAGAAACAACACTTGTGATCTGTCTCTCCCACTGGCCACGGTGTCGGTGATGAACTTCGTGCCCATATGAGAATGCAGATGGAGAGAAGGAAATTTATTATGCTGCCAGAGAGGGAAAGCAACAATCTAGGCCTCCTGATTCTCTTCCTGCTGGCTGGGCCCTGTGGCCAACGGTTAGAGAATGACAACGTGTCTCTGCTTCTTCTAGGGCTCAAGGGACCACGACAGGCTCAGGCCGTTACCCATGGAACTGGCCAGGGAGAGCCTACCTGTCAAATTGGCTGGAACGTGGCAAGATAAACTCCTGGTGAGTCCTTCTGTGACACCCTAGGGCTTTGGTGACAGAGTTAATTAATCAAGACACCAATGTCAAAATTAAAGTGAGGAGGAAAAGTCAATTAGTGATTGAATAGCTATGAGGAGACAGATTTTAATGAGGTTCCCTCTAATTTGAGCCGTTCCTTAACCCCTCCTCATTAGGCGTGGTCATGCTCCCTTTTTCTGAGTACTTTGGGGGTCAGGAAGAGGGAGGGATGAGGGGTGTCTCTCTAATTTACACTCCGGGGTGCATGGGGAGAGAGTTCTGTGCTGTCTGCAATATGCCAGGGCCCTATACAGACGTCTATCACCACCCTGAATTCTTTTCAGCAGGATGTTCATTTTGATTTGCAGTTTACCCCTTCAGCTCCCCTTCATCAGGCTTGGCCAGACTCCTGAGAGGAGATCTGAGCCGAGAGCGGGAGACACGGGTAGGCCAGGAAGGCTGGAGCTGGGCTCTCCAGGGAGACATCTGCCACCAGTCCACCCTCCACAGCCTCCTTCAACTCTATTTGCTTCTACAGGGAGACGGGGAGATTATGATGTTGCACAGGCGTTCCAAACCCTTGTCATGGTTAATAAAGGTCTGGCAGGAACCAGAGCTAGGATGGCTTTGCAGGCTCTGGTGTTGGGGACTCGGGGAGGGAAAGTAGGTGTAGCTATTTTTCCGGCTGCCTAGGTGACACTAACGAACCTGGGGACCAACAGAGAGACCAGACTGAGGGTCTCTGCTTCCTGCACTTACTCAACAGGTTTACTGATCTGGGGCATGTGGACAGTGTGACAGGTAGTGCAAGGTCAAGGGACAGGAAATGGAGCATGAATAGGTAGATGAAATGCTGTGGGGGAAGCTTCTGGCCTGGGGCACCACTGCATTTCCCTGATCTTGACTTGGGCCAGGACTGGGCCCAGAAAATAATACATGTTTACTGTAGGGGCAGCAGACAAGGAAAAAGAAGTTTGACCTTGTCTCACTACCCAGAGACTAACCACTGCTGGTCTTTTCAGATGTTTTCCGAGTAAATGTATTTAATGTTTTACATTAATTGACATAATGTTTAGCTGTATTTCATGATTCCGTCTGGCAGGGATACATATTTAGGTCATTGGAAAGGCCTATCCCATTTGTTCTTTTCACAAATCAAAATCCAGTCACATTTGCTTTCTAGAAATCAAAAACTATCAGGAAAGACTGAGGTCCTTTTATATACAGGAAAAATTATGAAAATGTAATCATGGGTTTGTTGTGCAATAAAAAAAATTTAAACAAAGAAAATGGTGGAAAGATGTAAATGATAAGAGAATAACTGGAGAAAACTTGTTTTTAGAAAAATGCAATGTTGCAAAAATATCAAGAAAGAAATGAAAGCTAAAAAATTGAAAACATATTTTTTTTTTGAGGGAGAGAGAGGGGACAAGGGAGGGGTAGAGGGAGAGAGAGAGAATTTTAAGCAGGCTCCACGCCTAGTTCGGAGCCCAACATGGGGTTCGATCTCATGACCGTGAGATCGTGAAAAGCTGAAATCAAGAGTTGGATGTTTAACCAACTGAGCCACCCAGGCACCCCATGCAAACATTTTAGTTTTTTACTCAAGACAATTTTTTTAATGTTTATTTTTGAGTGAGAGAGAGACAGAGAGCATGTGTGCAGGAGGAGCAGAGAGAGAGAGAGGGAGACAGAGAATCCAAAACAGGCTCCACAATGTCAGTGCAGAGTATGATGTGGGTCTTGAATCCACAAACCATGAGATCATGACCTGAGCCAAAGTCAGATGCTCAACCAACTGAGCCACCCAAGTAGCCCATCCATGCAAACATTTTAAAGGAAAGAAAAATACCAGGATGCAGATAACCAAGCTGAAAAGAGAAAATACTTCTACAGGCCCAACATAAGAATGACTTATCATTATAGTTTTTTTCTTTCTAGTGCTTGTCTCATATGTGTTTTTTCAAGGATGTGAAGGCTTATAGCATAAACATGTCTTCAGCCTTAATAATATAACTTTAATGGCTAAAATACATTCTATTAAGTATATTTATTGCACATTGTTTAATTATTATCCAGCTTTGGATTTTGAAGCACTTCAGATTACCCTATTACAAAAATGCAATGGTTAACATTTTTGTGCATGTTACTTTTTGTTATTTTGAATTTTCTTAAGAGTATTTGCCTAAATGAAATTGTTGAGTTAAGACGTTTGGACCTTTGGGGCACCTGGGTGGCTCAGTTGGTTAAGCATCTGACTTCGGCTCAGGTCATGATCTCACAGTTCGTGAGTTCGAGTCCCACGTTGGGCTTTGTGCTGACAGCTCAGAGCCTGGAGCCTGCTTCGGATTCTGTGTCTCCCTCTCCTTCACCCCTCCCCCACTCGCACTCTGTCTCTCTCTCTCTCTCTCAAAAATAAATAAACATTAAAAAAAAAGTTTAAAACATTTGGACTTTTAATAGTTCTTGATTAATATTCCAAAATTTGCTGTCGAAAATGATCGTCCAATTTACAGGAGTATTGCTTTCATTGCTCCCTCAGCAGCCTAAGATACTATTAAAAAATTTTTTTTATTGAGGTGTAAGTTGTATGAAATGTCCATATTTTAATAGATCAGTTTGATGAGTTTTGACAATTATAGACACTTTTAAAACCACCTCTGCCCAGTTATAGAATGTTTTCGTTACTCAAGAAAATTCTCTTGCCTATTTTGGACTTCATAAAAACAAAAATGATAACAAAGAATTATATATGCTCTAAACTCTATTAATCTGCTGTTACAATTTTTTATATTAAATAGAATTAGTGGTCTTTCAAAGAATTAATTACATGCCCATTTGGTTCTTTTTTTATAGTGTTTCTCTCTCTCTCCAAATTCCCCATTTGTTTGTATGTACTTACTCTGTTTGTTTCACTGTCACTGTCTAGACAATTCTAACATCTGAGCCATCTCCGGGTCTCATTCTATTTACTCTTCCTCCCTTGACCCTATCACGTTTGCTTGTGTCTTATGGTCTCTTAATTCCTTATTTATGTTGGGCACTGTGTGTAAGAAATCACTAGAAACTGAAGTAAAGAATATTTACCCACAGGAAAGGTTGTGTGCCTTCCATTAGACTGCTAATGTGAGAGAAGGAGACATATGAAGGCTCTGTCTGAACAGGGTATGGATTGGTTGCAGCTTTACTTTGATCTAGTTCACCACTGGCTTCTGATGTTTTGAGGATGGTACCAAGGCTCTCTTCGTTAGGGCTTGGGCTCTGAGCACCAGTGAGACTCAAGAGATCTTTCTATGCTGCCCAGTCCTGTTGGAGCTCTCTGAACCATGGAAAGCTTTCTGTCTTTCTGCTTTGTAGCCAGCTGTGGGCTTGAGTTTTAGGGCCTTCCCCCAGATTTCTGCAACTTGAGAGACCTCTCTTCATCCTCTGCCCTGCCTGCTCCATGTCTTGGGAAGGCCACCGTGCTGCACTTGGTGGAGACCCTGGCTCCCTTGAAGGGATTTCCCAGCCTTCTGTCTTACCCCCAGTCTACAGCAGGTCGTGTAGTTGGGGAAGATCCTGCATGCCTCAAAGGGAGTTCTCTCGGTTCTATCTTGCCCTTTGCCTTTGGTCTATTACCTGTGTACTTGATGAAGACGTCTGTGAAAGCTTTGGCATGCAGGTGGGCATACACTTGCTCTATGACCGGGGCTGTTGGAATGCTGATCTGTCACACGAGCTCACACGTGCCCGTTAAATGTCGTTACAAGTTGGGCTGATACCTCTTTACCCGAGTTTACGACCGATTCCTCTCCTACCTGTCACTTCATAGATAGAAGCAGCCATGCGTCTCTTCTATCTTAGGAAGAGCTTGTCATTTCTGGAATCTGGTTTATTTAGTTTTTTGTTTTTTGTTTTTTGTTTTTTTGCATCCTGAGCACTCTGATGATTTTTACAACCACGACTATGAGGCTTGCTTGGCTGGTTCTCAGTGCTAGGGCAGGTTCAACAGTCACTTCAGGCTTTCCACGTCCTAACCAGAAACAGAAGCCCCAGAGGGATTATTTTTCAGTTCGAGATAATTTAAGAGAGGGAAATGGGAACTCAGTGCTTTAATTTATATTTTTTATTCTCTGGCAACTGAACATCTCAAATCCTTGTTTGCTTGTTATATTACTTCTTCTGTGAGTGTCTTTTGCCCTTTTAGTGTCTTAATTTGTTTCTGACCCATATACAGAGGTCTTAAATACTAAATATAGTGCCTCTTTGTTACATTTGTTGCAGTATTTTTTGTCTGCCATTTGCTTTTATGGGTTACGTTCTATTTCGTAGTCAAATTTATAGATCTTCCTCTTTTTTCTTTTTTCTTCCTTGTATTGCTTGTGAGCCTATAAAGTTATCTTTCCTATAGACATTTGGAAAATATTCAATTCTATTTTTCTGAGATTTTGATGTTTAAAAAAACCCACATTTGACTCTTCCACTCAACTGGAATTTATTTTAGTGCATAATATAAAGCGAGATTCTGAAATTACTGTTTCTCCAAATTGCTAGTTAATTGTCCCGACACCATTTATTGGGTAATCCTTTCTTTCCATCATTGAGCTGTAATGAATCTTACATCTTTGTACATAATCGGGTCCATTTCAGTGCCATCTGTTCTATTACAGTGATCTCTCAGTCTGGTCTTGGGCAAATCCAGATGAGTTTTTGAATCTGCCAAGCTAAGGAGCTAACTGTGGTCTTGCTATAGCTTCCTCAGGGGCTGGGAGAGCCAATTCTCTCTGAAAGCGTCTGATGACAATTACATAACTTGTATTTATTTACTTATTTCATTGCTTAATTATTAAATTCCCGAGAATTAAAGCTCTTTAAAGGCTGTGATTATCTTTGACAAGGTTAAATACTACCTGAGCCCTGTTTTCCTGGAAAACAGCAGTGGTCAAGAAGTCCCCCGCTCCTTTGTGTGCCTGGAAATGCTGATTGCAAAGCAGCAGACTGCCCAGTGTGAGCTGTCTAAGACTCAGGGGTAAACTCCTATTAACTTAAGACAAGGCCAAACACAGACCCTCCAAATTCCCATTCTTTGTCACATAAATGTTTAGTTCCACTCTTTGTTTCTGATGAATGTGGACAAGATACCCATTCAGTTGCCTTGGCCAAACTTTAGTTAGGCTTTTTCTCCACCCCACCCTCCACAACCCTGAACCTTGAATTTTGACCCATGCTCAGGCTGAGCCATTAATGGAATATGGAGTCTCTCCTTCACAACCCCTCCTGAAAATAGGCTGACCACAAAGAAAAACAGCCCCTCCTCAACTATCTGATCACACTCCTTGCACATTCTGTCCCCCACCCCCAATTCTGGTTTACTCCTCTCTCTAGAAATTCTGCCTGAGGGGCACCTGGGTGGCTCAAACAGTTGGGTGTCTGACTTTAGCTCAGGTCATGATCTCGGCGGTTCGTGGGTTTGAGCTCCGCGTCGAGCTTTGTGCTGACAGCATGGAACCTGCTTCGGGTTCTCTCTGTCTCTTTCTGCCCCTTTCCTGCTCATGCTCTCTCTCTCTCTCTCTCTCTCTCTCAAAAACGAATGGATGTTAAAAAATTTTTAAATAAAAACAACAACAACACAAAATAAAAATTCTGCTTGAATTCAGGTGGGAGCACTCTTTCTAGTGCTGTCGTCTCCCTCCCCCTATGGCAATAGTCTATTTCATCTCACGGTATTATTTCCGACTTGAGAAGTCATGTCTATCCATTCACCACTGTATCCCAGTCTCCCAGTAACAGAGTAGCTTCTTAATAATGGTTCAAGTTGTTTTTTATTATAAGAATAATACATAATCATTGGAAGAAAAGAATCAAGTGTTTCAGAATGATGTAAAATAAAGTATAAAATCCCCCTTCCCCTCAAGTGCTAGCCTTTGCCACCATTTAGATTTCTTTTATATCTTTCAAGACATTTTCTGTTTTTTCTATTTTTTTTAAGTTTATTTATTTTGTGCAAGAGAGAGAGCACGTGTGCACGGGAGGGGCCGAGAGAGGGAGAGAAAGAGAGAGAGAGAATCCCAAGGAGGCTGTGCACTGTTAGCATGGAGCCCCACGCAGGGCTTGAACTCGTGAACTGTGAGATCATGACCTGAGCAGAAATCGGGAGTCGGACACTCAACTGACTGACCCACCCAGGTGTTCAACACCAAAGATGAATGAAAACAATTTTTAAAAATTCTGGTTATCATTGGACTTTGCCTATATTATAGATGAAAAATTGAATCTAGATACTGGTACAGTTTACATTTCTTTGTGTGAGATTGAACATCTTTTCACATGGTTATAGGCCTTTTTAAAAAAAATTTTATTAAAAAAATTTTTTTAAACTTTTTTTTGTTTGTTTGTTTGTTTGAGAGACAAAGAGAGACAGAGCATGAGCTGGGGAGGGGCAGAGAGAGAGGGAGACACAGAATCCGAAGCAGGCCCTGGGCTCGGAGCTGTCAGTACAGAACCAGACGCGGGGCTCAAACCCACGAACAGTGAGATCATGACCTGAGCCGAAGTTGGATGCTCACCCGACTGAATCACCCAGGTGCCCCTGGCCTTTTTTTTCTTAAACTGGGTTGTTCTTTCCTTATTGATTTTAATAATTTCTTTTTTTATGTTATTTTTTTTAAAATTTACATCCAAATTAGCATATAGTGCAACAGTGATTTCAGGAGTACATTCCTTAATGCCCCTTCCCCATTTAGCCCATCCCCCCTCCCACAACCCCTCCAGTAACCCTCTGTTTGTTCTCCATATTTAAGAGTCTCTTATGTTTTGTCCCCCTCCCTGTTTTTATATTATTTTTTTCCCTTCCCTTATGTTCATCTGTTTTGTATCTTAAAAGTCCCCATATGAGTGAAGTCATATGATACTTGTCTTTCTCTGACTAATTTTGCTTAGCATAATACTCTCTAGTTCCATCCATGTAGTTGCAAATGGCAAGATTTCACTCTTTTTGACTGCCGAGTAATACTCCATTGTGTGTGTATATATGTGTGTGTGTGTGTGTGTGTGTGTATCACATCTTCTTTATCCATTCATCTATCGATGGACATTTGGGCTCTTTCCATACTTTGGCTATTGTCGATAGTGCTGCTGTAAACATTGTGGTGCATGTGCCCCTTCAAAACAGTATACCTGTATCCCTTGAATAAATACCCAATAGTCCAATTGCTGGGTCATAGGGTAGTTCTATTTTTAATTTTTTGAGGAACCTCCATACTGTTTTCCAGAGTGGCTGCACCAGCTTGCATTCCCACCAACAGTGCAAAAGAGATCCTCTTTCTCCTTGCCAACATCTCTTGTTGCCTGAGTTGTTCATGTTAGCCATTCTGACAGGTGTAAGGTGGTATCTCATTGTGGTTTTGATTTGTATTTCCCTGATGATGAGTGATGTTGAGCATTTTTTCATGTGTCTGTTGGCCATCTGGATGTCTTCTTTGGAAAAGTGTCTATTCGTGTCTTCTGCCCATTTCTTCACTGGATTATTTGTTTTTCGGGTGTTGAGTTTGGTAAGTTCTTTACAGATTTTGGATACTAACCCTTTATCTGATATATCATTTACAAATGTCTTCTCCCATTCCGTCGGTTGCCTTTTAGTTTTGCTGATTGTTTCCTTTGCTGTGTAGAAAGAAGCTTTTTATTTTGATGAGGTCCCAATAGTTCATTTTTGCTTTTGTTTCCCTTGCCTCCGGAGACGTGTTGAGTAAGAAGTTGCTGCGGCCAAGGTCAAAGAGGTTTTTGCCTGCTTTCTCCTCAAGGATTTTGATGGCTTCCTGTCTTACATTTAGGTCTTTCATCCATTTTGAGTTTATTTTTGTGTATGGCGTAAGAAAGTGGTCCAGGTTCATTCTTCTGCATGTTGCTGTCCAGTTTTCCCAACACCATTTGCTGAAGAGACTGTCTTTATGCCATTGGATATTCTTTCCTGCTTTGTCAAAGATTAGTTGGCCGTATGTTTGTGGGTCCATTTCTGGGTTCTCTATTCTGTTCCATTGATCTGAGTGTCTGTTTTTGTGCCATCCTTATTGATTTTAAAGAATTATTTTTATATCAGATAAATTAGCTTTCCTGTCATATATGCTGCAAATAATTTACCGTTTTGTCTTTGACATTGTAAATGTTATTTTCGCCATAGAATATGTTCATATTTTTATATAGTCAAAACTGTTCATCTTTTCTTCTATAGCTTCTATGTTACTTTCAATTCTATGTACAGGCATATCATAGTTTACTTAATGCCAATATTTATTATTTTTTTATTAAAAATTTTTTTGTAACAATTTATTTATTTTTGAGAGAGAGAGACAGAGTGTGAGCCGAGAAGGGGCAGGGAGAGAGAGGGAGACACAGAATCTGAGGCAGGCTCCAGGCTCCAGCCCAGAGCCTGATGCGGGGCTTGCACCCACGAACCGTGAGATCATTCCTGAGCCGAAGCCCGGCGCTTAACTGACTGAGCAACCCAGGCACCCCAAAGCCAACATTTATGAAGATTTAAGTTGCTTTTCATTTTTAAATTATTTTAAACAATATTTGCAGATACAAATTTATACTCGTTGTTGACTATTTCCTGTTAGTTCCTAAACATTGATTAAGTCCTTTCAGATCAAGGCCACTGATTTTCACCCCCTTCTGGATCCACTGATCTATCCTCTCAGTAAGAATGCCTCTTTTTGCTCAGAAAAGTTAGATGCTGGAGAGGAGAAGGAATGAGGAGCAGAAAGATGGGGAGGGGGGGGTGGCAGGCAGGAGAGACAAGCATTTTAAGAATATGTAAGGGACGACATCACAGGTGCACATCCCAGTTAGCATCGTTATCGCTTAGTTTCTGCTCCTGACAGTTTGCTGGAGGGGTTGATCTGCCATTCTTGTAGTTTTGGGGTGAGAACGAGGACTAATTAGAACCTTGCCTTGTAGTTGGGTTTGTACACAGTGATGGTGACTTTTGTATCAGCAGGCAAGGAGGGACCCTTTTCTCTACAGTTATCTGCAACATGTGATCTCATGGTCAGGATAGTTTACATATCTCCTCTATGATTTCCTATAACGTTTAAAACTAGATTGGAGCAAGGGGCAAATCCTGTCTATTTGTGGATAATGAATATGGAATAAGTTGGATTTCTCTCTCTTAAATATAAACGAAAGGAGAATTCACAAATCCCAACCGTTTCTGCTAATTCCACCAAAGGTAAATTGCACACTGCCTCGCATACTCCTCGAAAAGCGTGAAGCTAGAATTTCTCTATTTTCTTTCTTTTTTTAACTTTATTCATTTTTTGAGAGACAGAGAGAGACAGCACGAGAAAGGGAGGGGGCCGAGAGAGAGGGAGACACAGAATCCCAAGCAGGCTCCAGGCTCTGAGCAGTCAGCACAAAGCCAGATGCGGGGCTCGAACCCACCCACTGTGAGATCGTGACCTGAGACGAAGTCGGACGCTGAACCAACCCAGCCACCCAGGTGCTGCCAGAATTTCTGTATTTTCAGAACTGAAACTTGTTTAGGCACTTGAGTGAAAATGGCAAGGTGGCCGATTTGTCTGATGGTTTCTTTTTATGGACTCCAGAGGGTTATATAATCTCATACCTAGAAATTTGGTTTAACTGATCAATCTTCTACATTAATGTTAAGGTTCACACTTCTGTTTATGCCTCTGCCATCTCCCCCCACGGGACCGTAAGCTACTTGAGAGCAGGCTTGCCTTGTGAGTGAGCATGCGCACGGTGCGCTGCCCAGACAGGTGCCCAGGACTTTTCAGATCGCTAGGGGGAGCCACACGAGGTTTCTTCTGGAATTCTTACAGGCGCCAGTTCCTCAAAGCCGGGAGTTCTGATCTGGACTGTCATGGCAGCGTCTTCTCCCCCAAATAAGAACGTACATTTTGCAGGAACTGTCTGCAGGGTGATGCAGCAGAGGCCGTGGACTGTGTGTATAAAACCATTTGCTGTCTGCGCAAAACCTGGGCCTGGTGGCTCCTCTGCACAGTTCCCGTGTGCCTTTGCGCCAGAATCCCTTGAACGGCTTATCAGGCGTTTTTTCTTGATTCCCCTGAAGTTCCTGGGAGGTTCTGAGTCCCATGCAGGAGGAGTAGGTGGTTTTTCTTTCTCAACAGACACATGCCAGTCTTGCTTTTTGGAGCTTGTGTGAGGTGTGAATGGACTCTTGCCAAGAGAGCAGGGCAGGAGACTGACGGGGACTAGGACTGGGGAGAAGGAGGTATTGATGACGAAACGGGGTTCTCGGATCAGCCCGGAAGCGGAAGTACTCCCTGTCAGGCACAGACTGTGGGGCGACCCCCGGTGGAAGGGGACACGATCTTGCCAAACATAGGATGGGTGAGTGCCAGGTTCTCTGCCCATCCTGAACTCTTTACCGTGCTCTGTGCCCTCGTGGCTGGTGGTCAGAGCTCCTCGCCGAAGAATTGGCTTTTAAAAATCTCTGATGCTCCTGAGCCATGAGGTGTCGTCTGGGGTGGAGGGTTGGCAGACTGGGGTTCAGGACTTCTCCCGTCTGGTCTCTGTTCTCACAGTTGCTCCAGACTTCCCTCGTGATGCAGCCGAGCCCCTGGGCAAGGCTGGCCTGAGTTTCCCTGAGATGAGCAGGTGGGAAGGTGGAGATCCATGGTGAATCAACGTTTGGTGAAGGGTCAGAGATGGCAGATTAAAAATAAGCCCGGGGGGGGGGCGGGGGGAGGAATCCAGAAAGCACAAGATTAGAGTTGGCACATGAGAGAAAGAGATTAAATGGAAAAAGAAATATCACCGGCAGCTTTGGATTTACCCAGCCAGACTTTCTCCGGTGGGCAAGAAAGGCTTAAGTAATCCAAATTAATTTCTAGTTAAAGGCAGAGCTCAAAGAGCAATCAAACAGGTGACCACAGCTGGCACCAAATTTCACAGGGAGATAAACTACAAATGCTAAAAAGCAGCCGTGTGTGCTGAGACTCAGACTGCAAACGGCCGACCCTAGGCACAAGGCAGAGGCTAGAATGTTCCAGCCGTTCATTCTGTCCTTTGTGCTAGGCACTGGGCTTCCAGTGTGTGTCTGAAACATGGGCACTGCCTTAGAGCGGCTCCCGGTCTAAGGAGGGAGATGCCTAAAGAGAGCGTTGCAGGACAAGCGTTACAGCAGAAGTAATTCTATGACGGTATCCAAAGAGGGTAAAAGAAGGAAGCAGGGAAAGTGAAGAGGGAGTGGGGAATGAGGAAAGACCTTCTGTAGGATCAGATGCCTCACCGGAGCCCCAGGACCAACAGACTATAACAGGCCCTATCATGCTCATGAGGAGGTCGGGAAGGGACCCTGGAGGTGGTTGGAATAGCAGGTGTGGTGACGTGGACGCGCGAGGGAGCCCGGGCATCCCCAGGCAGTCCCGTAAGGCTGCGGCATGGGGTGCACCATGGCCAGATCTGATTCAGCCTTTTGCTCTGGCAGCATGGTGGGGTTAGATCTGCGGCGAGAAAGGAGGAAGAGGGGTCATCTGAACAGCGAGGGCAGTCATCTGGGGAAAGGGACCGTGGCCTGAACTAAGGCTCTGGGCGTGAGGATGGAGAAAAGGAGATGGATTTGGGAAGTCTTGAGGGATGGAATTTGTCGTCTTGGGGACTCGGTGACTATTTCAATGCATCTTGTTCAGAGTCAGCCTTGGTGACTAGGCGGGGTGCCATCCTCGGAGATGGGAAGGAGAGGGGAAAAGGGGGGACTTCGGATGCTCAAAGGGGACAAATGAGGACCTGCAGGGCTTTGGGTAACCGTAGGACGTCTGGATATCAGGCAGTTTGGAGCCTCACCCCTTTCCCTCTTGCTCTTTCTTGCTCTTTCTTCTTTTTCTTTTGAGAGACAGAGAGAGACAGAGCACGAATGGGGGGAGGGGCAGAAAGAGAGGGAGACGCAGAATCCCAAGCAGTCTCCAGGCTCTGAGCCCCGACGTGGGGCTCAAAGTCACAAACTGTGAGATCATGACCTGAGCCAAAGTCGGGTGCTTAACCAACTGAGCCACCCAGGGGCTCCCCGCAACCCCTTTGCTGCGAACTCCTGCCTCCTGAAGTGGGTGGTGTCTGGGTGCTGCCCAAGCCTTCCATCTGAGGCTCTCCCCCGCCCCCATTCCCGGCAGTAGTCCCCCAGTAGTGGGTTTGGAGGATGACTGGTGGTGGCATTTGAGGCTATCCAGATTCGTGGTGTGAGTGCTCTCAATTCTACCAGCTTGGTCTCTGCGAGCTAATTTTCACTGTTAATCTTTGGGGGGTGAACTGGACAACAGTTTTCAAACTGTGTTCCTTCAAGCCCTAGCTTTCTGGCCTTGGGAGCTGCTAAGACTTGGAGGACAGGGTGGAGGTGGAGGAGAAAGGAGGAGAGGGGGCGAGGCCAAGTGGAGATCCAGGGTGGGCTCGGCCCTTCTGAGCACCCCCACAAAGAAAGACTCTTTTAAAAAGTTGTCTTGAAAACAAAGACATTTGTGGGTAAATGGTTGGCCTAGGTCCAGAGATGTTCATGCTCTGGGGAGGAGGCTTGAATGAAATTTAGTGGGGGGGGGGGGGGCAGGGGAGGGCCAAATCAGGGAGCATCCGCTGAGGACTGAGGTAAGGAGCTTAGCGCAGTGCTAACCAGACGGCAGAGCAGGTCTGTTTTATGCCAAGTCCTTGGAGGGGTGCAGGAGGAATTCATTACGAGGCCGTGTCGGGCTGGGTCTGGGAACACAGAGAAATCTCTGGTGCAGAGGTGGCAATCTGGAGTCGGCCTGCAGAAACCTGAGCACAGATATGTTTTATTTGGCTCCTAAATTGTTTTTGTAATTTCTGAATTAGTTGCCAGCATTCGAAAGGCAGGAGGCTGCATAGAAAATTTTGATTTTGGACTTTTCTCGAAAGACAAGGCTCGAGCACTGGGGCTGGAGCTGCTCTCTGAGGGGTCATGCTTTCTGGTCTGTAGCCACCCCACCCTTCTCTTGTCACCCCAGCCGGCTTGGCTCATTGATGGGACCTGGCTGGGTGCTGTGAGCATTTAAATTTGCAACTGCTGAGTCAGAGTCACTTCCCAAGCGGGCCAGGGGCCAGGGGCTCACTCCCTTCTTAGCCCTAAAAGCTTCTGCAGCACAAAATGACTGTCTTCTCCCTCCCTCTCTTCATAAGGCTTTTGCTTAAACTGAACCCCTACTATGGGAACTGTCTTTCTTCTACCGTTCCGCCTGGTACCGGGTGCATGAATATAGCTGGCCTGTGGACAGTGAGCATAAAGAGAATTGCAACTGTGACAAATATTATGAGAGAGGAGTGTGTTAGAGATCAATGCAAGAGGGCTTTGTCCTGGTCCAGGAGAGGACAGGTCTGAGGTCTGACGGATGAGAAGGAGTTAACCAGGTGTAGACGGGAAGAGAGGGTGTTGCAGGTAGAGGGGGAGCGAGATGGAGGGGTGCTAGGGACAGCAGATGTGGACGGATGAGCCAGGGGGCAACTATAAGTTCCAGAGAAGGATGCCGGCTTGGATTAGAGGAATGGCAGGGGATGAAGTTGAGGGAATTTAAGGAAGTAACTAGAATGCGCTGGGGGATGGATGGGTGATAAGGCGCGAGGAGAGCGCTGTGCAATGCTGTGTCCTTAGTTTCTGGCATATGTGACGAGACAGAGTGGTAACATGCACTGAGATACGGAGCCGTAGGGAAGTACGTGCAAGGAAGGATGACAGGTTCATCCCCCGTGTGAGGTGACTTCGAGGCATCTCAGACGAGATGACAGAGAGACAGTTGGATGGACACACAGGTCCGGAACTCAGAGACGTTCGGACTTTAAAAAGGTCTGTTTGCTACCAACCCACTGGCCTGATGGTGAGCTGCCTCCTGGGCACTTTGCATTCTCTCCTCTGGACAGATGCATCATTCAGTCATTCAATGAGCGTTGATTAGACACCAGTGACTGTGCAGAGACGCTCTGCTAGGCGCTGGCTAGATAGCAGCGAGCAGATGCCAATCCGCGCCTCAAGGAACCAAGCTGTGAGTCTGCAGAGTGTGGATGTGATTGGATCCCCTCCAAGCCCTCTGCCTCCTCCCACTATTGGGGTTATTAAAGGTGGGTTGGCATTCTCTCTGTTTCCCCTTGCCTTGCCTTGTGGTTAACTGTTGAGAACAGATTTACATGTGCTTTCACACTCCACAGAAATAAGATAAAAAACAAGTTTAGATTAAAGAGTTTCAAAACTTTCTGCCGTTGCTACTTTGATCGTGGTCTACTTGGCATATTTGTCTCTAGACTCTGAGTCCGAAGCGCTGTACCCTCTGAGACAGGAAACCAGACCTCGGATGCCTTCCTTACATATTAGGGCTGATCTCCTAGTCTCTGG